TATTATTTAAATGTTAATTTAAGTGTAATAATAATATTAAAAATTATACATTAAATAAATAAAAATAAAATAAAAATTATATAAATACGTTTTTCTTGTTTATTAATTTTTAATTTTTTCTTTATTATAACTTATTTTTTATTTTTTTTTATATAATTTATTTAATTTATTTTCCATTATTTTAAACTTAAATTTATAATTATATTTATAATATTTATTATTTTTATGCGTAATGGTTAAAATTTTATATATATAAAATTTAATTTTAAGGTTATATTTATTAATTAAATTATTTTTATAAAAAAAAAAAAAAAACGAGTAATTAATTAAATATGGTAATTACGAGTTGTTTTTTAATGTTAAAATTTCATTATTTATATTATTTATATTTAATATTAAGGATTTATTATTTAATGTTTATTATTATTTCGAAAAATTAATAAATTTTATTTTTATTTATATTTTTAATTTTAACGATTACGAGAAATAAATGAATTAATTTATTATTATTTAAAAAACTTTATATTTATAAAAGTTCCGTATAAAATTAAAGGATAATCCGGATATTAATAATACGTGGGAAATATTAATAATAATGTTTTTTTCGAACATTTAATTATAAGTTTTATAAATGTTTTAATGTTTTTTATATATTAATAAATTATGATTTAATTATTTAATAAGTTATTTAATATATAATTATTAAATAATATTTTTAACGATATAGTTTAAAAGTAATAAATTGGTTATTTTTTTTAAAGTAAAGTTTACATGAATTTTAATTTAATATTATTATCGTTAAATTAAAATATAGCGGAAAAGTTGCGAGATAATAACGTTTTTATAAAGTTTTAATTTTATTTTAATTTTTTTAACGATTAAAATTAAAATAATTTATTAAAAAAAAAAGCGTATATTTTTTACGTGTATTTTTTATTTAATGAATCCGTTCGAAAATAATATATTTAAGTTTATAAAAATGAGAAATTAATTATAATAAACGGCGAGTATATTTTTTATTTAAGCCGTATTATTAATAAATTTAAGGATTTTTTAATGGCGAAAATTAAATTTAAACCGAATATTTCGTTCGAATGTTTTTTTATATATATTATTATAGTTAAAAAAAGCTTGTAACGTTTAACGGTGTAAAAAGTTTAAATTATTTTAAAAAAATTATTATTTTTTTTTAAAGTTAAAACAATATTATAAAAAAAATTTAAATTATTTACCCGAAATTAATTAATTTTATTAATTTTAAGTATATTATAAATTACGTTAAAACCGGATTTATAAAATTTACTTATTATATTTATATTATTTTATTTAAAATAAAAAATATTTATTAATAATAATAATAAAAATAATAAAAAAGATAAAAATCCGTTACCGGTAAAACGTAAACGTTAAATATAAAATATTAATATATGGAAAAATAATATTTATTAATAAGTAAATTTTAATTAATAATATTATATAATATTATATATAATGTTATATTTTCATTTATTTTTATTAAAAAAAAATGAATAAAAATAACGAAAAAATTAAAACATAAAGGAAAAAAATATATTATTATTTAATATTTATTAATTTTAATAAATAAATTATTTATTATTAATAATTTTTTAAATTTTTTTTTTTTATTAAAATTTATAAATTTTTATATAAATTAATATTAATAAATTTTATAATTTTCTTATAATTAAACATGTAATTTTAATTAATTAAATAAATTTAATTATTAAAAAAAATTAAAAATATAATGTAAATAAATGTTTATTTATAATTATAAAGATTTTTATTTATTATTTATAAATTATTTAAATATATTATAATTATATATTAAAAAAATAAATCATGTATATATTAACGTTAAATTTAATAATAATTAAATTATTTTTATTTTTTTAAAGTATTAAAATAAGGTTTAAATGGTTATATTAAAATATTATTATTAAAATATCCGTTATTATTAATATTAAAATTAAAGTTAATATTAAAAGAAAATAAAAATAATAAAATATAATTATTTAAGTTATATATTAATAAATAATCCTTAAATTTTTTATTATTTAATTAATTATTATTATTAATGTTTTTTTTTTATTAATTAAATAAATTATTCGTTTTTTATTTATTAAATAAACTTAACGGCATTTTTTATTCCCGGTAAAATAAGTTTTATTTTCGGAATTATTATTTTTATTTTTATTAAATTTTAATCCGCGTACTTGTGATATAAAATTTATTTTTTTAATTATTATTTTTATTAATATGTTGTAAAAACTTTATTTACGGATTTAAAATATAAAATAAATATAACGGGTTTATAAAAGTTAAAATGTTTCGTTATTAAAAATTAATTAAATAAAACGAACGAATAAAAATTCTTAAATAATGTTATATATTTTTTAACATTTTTTATTATATTAATATTTATATTTAAAAAATATTTACGGTTATAAATATAAGAAATAAAAGATTAACTTATATTTTATATCGGTAAATTTTAAGAATAATATTAATTTTTTTTAATTAAATATAAAATAAATGTTTAAATAAAATATAATATTATTATAATAATTATTTATAAAATGAATATAATAATTAAAGTAATATTAATTTATTTTATTTAAAATAAATTAATATTTAATAATTTTAAAAACGACGTAAATTTATTTAATGCCGTAATATATTTATATAATTTAATAATATTTATTATAAATTATTATTATTTTACGAAATATCTTTAAAAAAATATATATTTTATAAATAAAAATTAAAAAAATTTTAAACGATTTTTATAAAAAAAATAAGTTTTTATAAAAAAATTTTTAATAATTAAAATTAAATATTATAAAATATTAAATTAATGTAAAAATTTATTAATAAAAAATTTTAAAATAAATCGATAATTTATAACGTATTATTAAAATAATTTAAAATAAATAAATAATATTTTTTTTTATAAAATATTTCGTTATTTAATTAAAAAAAAAATATTATAATATTATTTATTTTAATTAAATAAAAAAGTTTTATATTTAATTATAAATTTTTAATTAAAATATAATAAATTAAATAAATTAAATTATAATTAATATTATTATTATTTATTATTAAAAAATATAATAATAAAAAAATATTTAATAAATATATAAAATAATAAATATTAATGTTTAATATTATAATTTATATAATTATTTTAAAATTTAAAATATAAAATAATATAAATGATTATATTATTAATTTAATTAAATTTATAAATTTTATTTTTAAATAAATTATAATTATTAATTTAATAAATATAAATTAAAAATATATAATATATATATATATATATTATATATATATATACGTAACGGAAAATTTTAATAAAATTATTAAAAACGGAAAAAAAAATTTTCCGTATTTTTAATAATATAAATATAATTTAATTATATTTTAATTATATTTATAATTATAAAACTTATTTTTTTTTTTATTTTTTTATTTAAATAATTTTATATATAAATATATATATATTTTTATAATTTTAATTATTTAATTTTATTATAAAATAAATTTATTTTTTTTATTTATTTATTTTAATAATTTTATTATTTATATACGTATTTTTATATTTTAATTATATAACTTTAATTACGTAAAACTTATTTTTTTTTTTTATTTTTTTATTTTAATAATTTTTTTATTATTTATATATTATTATACTTAATTACATTTTAATCATATAACCCACCTTCTTAATTTAATAACAACTTTTTTTTTTTTAATTAACGCAACATAATAACCCTCTTAAAGTTGGGTAAAGGGGGGTAATAGCCAAGTCCACCCCATAATATATCATGAAAAAAAAGCTTTGTGCCGTGCGGCCCGGTCCGCTCTTATTGGCTTGCGCCTCCCAACTTTTTCTTTGGAAGTGGTTGGGCTTTGTCACGATTGGTTCTCTTATCTTCTATTCTCACGAAATTAACGATTCATTGAATATGTTGAAGTTATAATCGAGTGTGTAACAAATAGTCTTCTCCATTCACTGGTGCTGATTCACCAATAGTTACAAGAAAGAAATTCTCCTCATCCAGGCCTTTTTAACTCCTGATATATTATGGGTTGTCGATGATATTCAACTATACGATAGTGTCCCTCTATGTAAATAGAACCCGATTTAAACCATATGCAGATAGCAATTAGTTAATACCTAGCTTGTTAAATTTCTGCCATATCGCAAGATAAGCAACAGGCTCGTCTGTTACAGTCAATTGGTAGCAGGACGTGTCAATATCGTGAGGTCCAGCCCTTTGATTTTATCAAAAGATATCATAGATATGGATTCCACGTTCAGTGGTACCTACTCCATAGGTACCTGGCCCTGGAGGTTCCTAGGTCAAAGGGCTGTTTCACTACCCCGCTTACATGTATTTATATCCGTGTTTTATAAAACAGTTGGCGTTGTCAGCATACCTGGCATACCTAGGCGTATATGGGTGTGTTTCCGATAAAAATACTTACCTAGGTGATTCAAAATTCAAAGATAAGATGTTTGGGAGCCGGGGGGCAAATAGAGTTCCAACGCTTGAGCTTCGTGATCCCAGACAAAATCGGAAACAATCCCGGGAAATAATCCCGAGAAATAATCCCGGGAAACTTTAATTGAAAGACTTCATCTTAAAAAGTATTCTACCACTCTTACGTTCTGGCTTTCATTCTTTGACATCTGGCGTCTTCGTCCCAGCTGCCCATGATCAAGTGCCGTTAGGCATCAAAAATCAAGATGATAGATGCAAGACGATGTAAGCCGATGCAACCAAATGTGATAGATAGGTAGGTACTAATCATCTACTACCTGCCTAGGTAGGTAGGCCGGAGGGCCGCAATCAGTTGTCAATAAACACCGAGTTTTGACCTCCCATTTCCTGCGTTCATTTGCTCCAGGCACATCAATTAATAGCACCTAGTTGAAATTGGGGCATCTAAATAATTCTCGCATTAATATTAAGAATAATTGGCCTTCACAGGCATCTATCCCCTTGCGCGAGTTCTTAGCTGACGGTTTATCAAGCCGGTTGAACGTGGACGGAACGGGACACTTGGGTAACGAATGTCTCAACTTCAGTTTACTAAACTAATCCAGAAAATCTAATCTTCTCCCTAAAAAGCAATGTTTAAAGTCATGTCTCGTTCCTCTCATCCCGTCACTCTTGCAAACATCCACACCTACTCTCCACCTCTTCAGAACTCCTGCGTACCACGTGAGTTGCCAATTGATATCCATTCCCACAAACTAATATTTAGATTCAGGTGGATAGCAACTGGTCTCGCCCTCGACAGGTTAGCTTTGTTAAAATTGTCTGTCCCAGGCCGATGAATACTTCGATGTATCGTAACCTTCCCAGGTCGATGAAGAATTTCCTCCCGATCCATCGGGCTCGGCGTCGTCGGCACTGTAATTGCTGCCTGAACCAACTGGATTAGCGGCCGACTCGTCTTGCGAAATAGTGGTCGTGAGAATCTCGTTCAGGCTCCCCGCGGTAGCATAAGGGGATGGAGCCATAGGGTACATGTTTCCCCCAGGAGTAGGCGTTCCATATGATGGATAGAACACCGATTGCTGAGGAGGTTGCTGAGAAACGGTCCCGTATGTCCCCCCCTGAAGCGCAGCCGGTTCGTTCGGACCAAATACCACCGAGTTTGGAATCAAGTTTGGAGTGGATGGGGCAATGTGAGGGAAGCTGCTGTCAAGACTGAAAGCTCTGTTCTGGCCCTGCTGTTGGGGCAGGCCCGGGTTACTGAAACCGTGATTCACCGAGTCAAAGGCCTGGACAGGTCCCTGTGAACCTTCCGCGAAGGGGACGCATGGCGTTTTCGAGTGCTGCTTGTCTGGCCACAATATATGTTTCATGAGATCCCTGGTTCTAGTGTACGGCTTAGAACAGAGAGGGCAAAAGAGCTTAGGTGGCTCGCATAGACGCATTGTCACGTTGACTTCGAGTGCCGTCCCCGGGACCCATGGATTAAGCGACGACATGACGGCGTTGGGGACGTTTCAGCGAAAAAAAAAACCAATTTTATTGGTTGGAAAGTGAGACTTTCGCAGAAGAACAGCAAAACGCTGTACTTAAGAGGAGCTGAGCGAGTTCTTTTGACTAAGTGGAAGCAAGTGTATTAATACTGGTAAGGTATAAGGCAACCCGAGCGTGGCTTGTGTCTTTTTTACTCTAGAATACTCCCATATTTTACCTACCTGATTACGACGACAGTTCTTATTGTTCTTAACTCATGTCGGGAACCGACATACACATTGAGGCGAAGTTGAAAGTTCATCATATTGAAACTCGAAGGAGAGCAGAAATAAAAGTTGATCGAGAACTTCCAAAATTCCAAACTTCCGGACTCCTGCAGAATCTGCACTAGGTAAGCTTGGAATGTGATTGATGTACGCTGCTTCAACACCAACGATCCTGGGTGGTTCGGGTTTTTGGTCCAGTCAAACCCATGTTTGGGGAAATCATCTGCACGAAAACTTTTCCTTGAATAAACTTAAACATAACTTTCAACTGAGTTTCCCATGATCCACTTCGCTATTGAAATACTGCATTGATGATGATATTCGATGTGCGAATTACCTGCTTCCATGTTTACTAGTAGGCGTGTAAACAGCTGTTTACCTATTTAGGCAGGCATTGTAAGCTATTCTGCGATCGGTTACATGCCTTTATGAAATGTCTTTCGTAGCCAAGACTTAGCTAGAACTGTACAAAGGCAAATAATTAATCCGTGGTATCATAAATTTCGTAGCCAAATACCTCCTTGATCCTTATCCCGTACTGATTTCTTACACATCCAATGCATCCATGGTGTATCTTTGTAGGGAGTACCGAGGTGACATCCATCATTATCCCTTATTCAGGTGCATAATCATGTAGTAGTCTGCTTTGACCTATAAGCGTCGAACACACATACCTAGAAATCAAGAGCCTTAGTACCTTTGAGAACTGTTATTCATATACCTCCATAGAATAATGCATACTACATACCAAAGCACACATTGATAACACCTTTCTCTCTCCCTTGAAATTACTAGGTATCAATATGGTGCTCGAAATTGCAAGCTGTATTTGTTTGGAAGTTTCATACACCTGGGGTAATACTACGTAAATACCTTGATAGGCAAGGATGCGTACATGACCACGTGGGAAAGAACTTGGAATGAAACATTGATTTTCTGGATATGTTCTAGGATATCTAAATTTACGCAAAGTTTAAGAAGTTATATGCATGTAACTAGTATGTGTTGTATGGGCTGCTCCGTTCATCGAATAATCAGCATCACGGCCTTAGGATTGTAAATGAGTGAACATTGCTCTAGTCATAGGAGTAAGTGAAGTAAAATAGTCAGCCTGGTTATCTTCCATGAAAACAAGCGACGCCATTAAAGAGATATAAGTTACAGTTGTCTAAGTAGGCACCATATAATTTTCCAACAAGGAAATGAAACAAAATGAGAATGCCTCCCGATTGATTTTAGAACTTCTGGACCCGTCCGCTATGTCGTTTCATAACACTAGTTTAAACTGCCTTCAGCAGACCCCTTCATGACAACATGCACCATGCACCATAGCGCACTACCGCCAGTAGTTGGTGAAGCTGTAATGATTTTCGTGAGCCTATTCGATCTTTCTGGTTAGGAACTGCAAAACCTATGCATACACATATAATTCACTCACGATAGGACACTGCTTGTCGGAGCATCACCTAGGACGTGTTGGTGGGTGCGATATGATGATATAGGCCGAGGCAATAGTAGCAAACGCTACTATGACTGAAGAAATGATAGATCCCAAAAGTCCATCGTAAAGTTCGGGTTGCATTATGGTATTCCTAAGGACTGTAGAATATGGATGGCTTGTAAGGATTTGGTTGTTATCTTTCCTGGATGACTAAGCAAGTTAATGAAAGGTTACGCATGATAGGTAGGACATAGACGCTTATATATTTATTATTATTACTTACTATGCCTAGGTAGGCAACTTACAAGGCTAAATGATTATTAAACGTTGTACTTATGATTGGATTCATGATGTGGATTACCTGCATGACATTTTATTAAACTTTGAAGTTTTGAAACGCTGGAAATTTCTCTAGCGGTGACCTGCTGATTGGCTCGATTCATTACGATCTAATTCATCTCGCAGCACACCTCCCACAAATTCGGTCGGTAATTAACCCTTAATAATCCGGCCTATCCATTCAGATTGAAAATGCTTGATGTTAGAATAGTCTAAGATATTGAGCCATGATATATAATCTCACCTACTTAACTAATGAATTGAATTTTGAAAGAAGTTTAAATACTCTGAAGCAAGTTCAATGGTCGGTGATAAAAATCCATAGTAAGTTCTTTTTAACATTAAAATGTTGCTACAATAGAATAGCTAGCGATACTATTAAAACGCTCGGTACTAAGGCTATCATTTAATGTATTGAATACCTCAGAAAATTCGCTGGATACAACGTCCTTGTCGACGAAGAAGGATAGATCCATCCATAGTGTAAGCGACAACAAGGTTGGTGGCAAAGTAGTAAAGTTTCCCCCCAGGGGCAATAGGTTCAAAAGGTACTTAGATTTGTGTGGGTGTTGTACTGTAAGACCAGGTACCCGCCCGACTAGCCTTATCTAGGTAGCTTAGAGTCCGTCTGTATTATTGGTCTCGGATGATCGCGGAGTTATCTAGGTACTTAGTACTTACTTAGGTTACTCCTACGTAGAAGAGTGCTGTAGGTAGGTGGCCTTTTACCTCCCCAAGTCGCGTAAGATTCTTCGATGATCGTTCAACTGCACTGCCGGCAACACCTACCATAATATACCGAAAATTTTCGCGGATTCTCCATCGCTGTGATTACGCTGGAACCTAAATGAACATTGACATCGTGTTCATTTCTAGAATATACAACTTTGTGAATTCAAGCTCACCTGCAGTCTAAATGTTTCTAGGGGGCTGGGTGAAGTTGACCAGCCCGAGCCTCAGGCTTGTGGCTGAGATGTCATGATGAACTTGCACAAGACCGACAGACCGAAAGTTAGCAGGCGTTTTTGGGAGAGATATTATTGGGAGGCGATATTGCCTGGCTTCGTGTCGCTTTCTGCTTTTTATTCTGTGTCGTCCTATCAAGGTTGGTGTACCGTGAAACATGCACAACGCCACCGACGCACGTGTCCGTCTCCTCGTTCCGGAATTCTCATGATAGACATGTAGACACCGCACAATATATACACCGCTTGGCAATATTAATGTTAGCTGGCACATATAGGTCTCCGTGGTGAGACTCCGTTGGCACCTACATATACTCACGATGGAGAGAAACATCCCAAACCCCCCTCCGCCTTTGCGCCCCCTAACAAATCTCCCAAAACCTTCGTACGGTGCTTAGGACACCTATTCTCCATATCCTGCTGGTCAGTTAATCGCATAATTCTAATCAACCAGATCCCGAGTCCGAATTCCACGAAAAATACTCGAAAATACTCGGAAAAAAATGAATATAGGAACCCTAATCCCGCAACTAGCGGGCCTCTCCCCCAACCCGCCGAGCTCGCGCCCGCCGGGGCTCGGCGGCCAGGACTTCACGCACTGCTGCCTGCTCGCGCTGAACGACTCGCTGACGGTGCTCCCCGACGGCAACCTATCCTACTCTCCGACGTCGTTCGTCGCGCCGGGCGTCTCGCTCAGCTCGCTCGAGACGGCGATGCGCGGCGACGAGTTCCCGTGCGGGGCCGCGTGGAACGGGGACGCGGACGGGGCCCCCGTCGTGCGGGTGCCGTACCGCTGGTGCGAGAGCCGGTGTCCCGGGTGGGAGATCTCGCACGCGACCGTCATGCAGCAGTGGGTCGGCCCCCTGGTCCAGTTCATCGTGCCCAGCCTCGCCTTCTGCACCAACGTCCCGCGCACCCACAAGCTCGCCATCCCCGAGATCGTGTTCAAGGGCCACCCCCGCACGATTGTGGGGCTCATGACGTACTGGATCCGCTTGCTGGGCGCCGTCGTGCTTATGACCCTCGACACGGTCGTCTGGCTCGCGATTTGCTTCGCGTTTGCTGGGCCGATGCTGTTGAGTGCGGTGTATGAATACGCGCTGGATCGCAAGGTGCTCGAGTTTCTGGCCCCGCCGAATGGGAAGGCGCCGGTTATTCCGGCGCGCTTGAGGGCTCAACTACTGCTTGCTGTTGTTGTGGGGAATATCCGGATGGCGACCCTCGAGAACGACGATTTTGGAAGCGAGAGCCGTCATGATAGTGCCCTTTCGACTGACCTCGAGGGAAAGATACCGGCGGGGCCTAGTCGGACGTCGAGCAAGCTGGTGCATAATAGCGTCTGGAAAAGGGTTATGGTGATGATCGACGAGTACGAGGCGTGGAGGTTGGCAGATCGACCGAATGAGGCAGTTGTGACACTACCGACTAAACTCAAGGCCCTCCTAAACGCACAAGCGAGCTTCGGATCAACGGTTGGGGCACCGGTCTTATTTTTCCTCGGCGGTTTCGTTTATACGGTATTGGACTCGGATAACAACCTAGGTGATAATGACACTGCGCATGCTCTGGCTTTCGGATTGTGTGAGTTACTCTGACAATATCTCATAGGTCGCCATTTGCTAACAACCGTTTTAGGGTGGATGGTGATTCCTTATCTTGCTATAATCGTACGTATATATCGGATCTGTTGATTACCCCTATCCATGGAGTGAACTGTGAACGTTTAGTTCAGGGATCAGTTTCAACGCAGGCCCATGGTTACGAGGAATTACTAACTTAATGTGTTCTAGTCTTGTGCGATGTTAGCATCCAACAGTCCCAGTACCCTCGACGGCATCGTATACGACGGAGGCATCACGGCCCCGAAAGACGAATACGCCGAAGGTGTCTGCAAGCAGTATATCAAAAAGGGTGAGAACAAGAGCGGCATCGGCCTTATTATACGACAAGTCGAAGGCTATAACCCGATCGAGACCGCCTTCCAGGGCCGGTTCCGAACCGTCAAGCTCTGGAAGCGAGGCCTTAACAAGCGCGAATGGGTTCAGGAGGCCATCAGCGAATACATCGGATCCAGGGGGTATCGAGGCAAGGACCGGATTCAGCCTGACGAATTACGCAAGGCCCTCACGCTGAACTGGCAAGACTGCCTCTACATTCTCGTCAGCGCTTTCTTCGCGGTCTTCGTGCCCTGCGCTCTCGCGTTCCTAGTCTCGTATAACACGCCACAAGCCGGACTCTCGTGCCGCAGCCTGACGTACCTCGTCTATGCCATCAGCCAGGTCTGCGAGATGGCGCTGTGGACATGCGCCGCGAGACTGCGGATCCGGTACGGCACGCGGTGGTTCGAGACGAATCCCGTTGTGAAGAGGGTGTGTTGGTGGGGACAGGTGTTCGTGGGGTTCTTCTCGATATTTGCGGCCGTGGGCGGTACATCTATGCAGCTTTTGGGCGTGTATCGAAGCTGTACTTGCATGGTCCCTGTGAGATACTGGCCGCGGCTGAACGACGTGGACGCGTATATCGTGCTGAGCGATAACACCGCCGAAGATATCGAGGCTGCTCGGCGCTGGTGGACAGTTACGGGTAGCACGGCTGTGGGCATTATTGGGTTCGTGTGTGCGCTCGCGTGGTGGCATCAGCGGCGGCTCCGGAAGGTATTTCGTGATGAAGCGGATAAGCTGGACAACGACGAAGTGACGACTGAGCCAATGCTACAACGTCCCGTGTTATGAGCTTGAGGGTATTCTACTGATAGGTTATTATGGTCATACTTAGTCTGCTGTTCTGGGAAATCAACACATTTCTATTCATCTTTAAAACCATTATCCATCGCCCAACACACAAGGTTGGACATGATCTTAGCCATCCCATTTAAGTGCTTTGTAATGTTGCGCCGGTGATATGCTTTCAATGCAACCTCATTTGGATATCTTCCGTCGTTTTCATCATACGATATCCCATCTATTACCAGCTCATGTGTTGTACACTATCCAGCAGATTGTTGCCTATTGTCCTCAACTGCCAAACTCTTTGATGAAGTAGGATGCCTACCCGAACGCCAGGGCAAATACCGCAAACTCAAACGCGGGTATCATAACTTTTGCGAAGCACGAACGCCAATCCCGAAAATGCTGTCGATTCTAACCCATTAAGCAGTAAAGTCCCAGGGTTTGAAGGCCTCTTTGAATTTTTGGACATCCTCAGTTTCTTCAGCGATGGGCTGGACAACGTCTTTCCAGGTGATTCGGCTCTCGAGTCCGAGAAGTTTAGCTATCACCCGGCGGCCGAATTGAAGGTCGAAGCGAGTTTTACTATCAAGTCGCATCACTAACTCCTTGCTTTGGATGCCGGTGTCGCTATCATCGGCCCAAATCCAGACGCGGAAGTAGTCGGATGTCTCATCGATACCGGACTCCAAGGCCACCTCCTCGAAAGGCGGAAACTGTCGATTTTCGGCTTCTACCTTGAAACCAGCCTCAACCAGGCCCTTCCGAATGAGATCTGAAGGCACTGGGATGAATTGCCAATGAACGTGAATTCCGTGTTGTCGGCTAATTTCCCAAGTCACTGCGCCCAATTTGAACTTCGACTCCGTCGCAATCATAGCCTGCATGGATTCCTTGAAGCGCGTCATCTCCTTGTAAGTCTTGTCCGCATCTTCCCCCATTGCACGAACTGTGGGCTCATGAGGAAGGGGTATGATAAGTTGATGGCCTGGAAAAGAGAGGCCTGACGAGGCGAATGTGTCCGAACTAGGTAAGGGGCCCTTGGCGGTAGTGACGTAAGAATCGTCTCCTATGCAACAGATCATATGTGTGTCTACTTGTGTGTTACTAAGACAGAAGAAACACTGATCAGGTCCGGGAGGAGGCGACCGGTCCTTACGACGACGCACGCGACGGCCGCCTCCGCGATGATCATGGTCGTTGAAGTGACCGGCATTGTCACCACCGGGAGCTGGTCGTTTCCGTGGGTTGGTCTTAGGAAGGAACGGAGAAGCAGTGCTGCCAGGAGGTACGGTGGAAGAAGGCGCTTCTCCGGGGACAAGATTGAAGGCATACATAGCCTTCGCCTTAGCCTCATTTCCGTAAGGGGCAAGTGAGATGAATCGGGTAACAGGCAACTGGTCGGATTCGGGACCACTGGGCGGGTGGAAAAACGGCTCGCGCTCGTAGAAAAAGTTACCGTATGCTGCTGCGAAGTGATAACGAGGCTTGAGGGCAGCACACAATTCAGCTATCTCGTCGCTGCTTGCGATGGCGGTCTGTTGCTCTAGCGCAGGTGGCTTGCTTGAATTCGACCAGATACCAGAAGGCCAGCACGTCGTCAGTAAGATGTCGGCGGTGTTAGCGCCGCGCAGTATCTTCGCGTCATCGGCCGTATGTAGCGGAAGGTGTTGTTCATTCGACTGCCCACCCACAATAGACTTGTCAAGAGCACCGCCTAGTACCACAATTCGGACCCCGTCTGAAGTTTTGGTAATGCTTCGTTTCCCAAGGAAATGGAGATTCTCGCAGACCTGCAAATGTGGCGAGATTAGATCTAGAAGAGAGATGCATGGTTGGGGAAGCACTTAGACGTACATCTTCGCCTTTTTCAACGCGCTCGACTACTCGGTCAGGCAAGGGAATGGTGCCTATGGTGAAGTAGGTCGAGATTGGTATTTGAATTTCCCCATTGAGAAGCCGCGACAGGGAGTCTTCGTCTTGGTCGAACGTAAAGAGATCTCCAGTAATTATGGCGAAGGCGAAATTCTGCTTCTGATGTAAAGTCGCGAGTTTCTGGAAAGCCGATTCGAACTTGCCATTGACACTGCCGAGGACGAAGCTTATAAATCTTAGTTAATTATTGCTTTCAAAGTAATCAATGAATTGAATTCACTTACATTTTTGCCGCCATGATAAAACTGTAGGAACGCGCTCGGAACGCGCAAGCTTCACGATGGACGTTAAAGAGCTGTCAAGCCCCGAGATTTAATTGGTTGCGAGGGTTCAAGATGACATGGATGGACAAAGCTTTGGACGAGAAGCTTTCTGGGTGCCAAGCATATTTAGCTCGACAATCTTATCGATAAGGTTGTCGATAAGCTTATCGAGCATTCTAGTGCCAAAAAAGTTGCCAGTCGCGATGCTTTTTTTGCGATGCGACTTCTTTTTATTCTTACAGTGGGGCAAGAGGAAACATGTAAAATCCCATTCAACTGCAAGAGCAGCAACCAATCTTCCCCAATCACAATCCAATAGGGGAATCAGCAATCAAGATGCGCTCAACGCAATCGGGACGAATAGTCAAGTCCCGTAAGGGAAATGGGACCCCTCACCAGAAAAATCATAGATGGGAGTCTTTTACGGCCAAGATCTCTAAGCTTCATTCCCTCGATCCTCTACGAAAAGTGCGACGACATGATCTCGAAGTCGAAAACCTCGAAACGACGACCTCATATTTCAAAAATGGCATGGAGAAATGGGCGGATATGAACATATCCAAACAATTCACTCTCTTCCGGAGAGATGTGCGGCCTTACTACGACAGTCTACCTCAGATCCTGCACTTCCAAGACAAGATTATGGAACTGCTGGCCAAATACATTTCTGTACACGAAAAAGAGTCGCTAGAGCCTCTACTAGACCTTCTCACCGCCTTAGCACATGATTTGGGTTCGCGCTTTGAGAAGCATTACCCGACTGCTCTATCCTTGATTACTGGAATTGCAAGTCGACCTCAAGATGCGGCGGTCGTTGAATGGACTTTTGGTTGCTTGGCTTTTCTGTTTAAGTATTTGTCAAAGCTGCTGGTTTCAGACATCCGGCCAACCTTCGATGCTCTGGCACCACTGCTGGGCAAGTCTCGGAATCCTCCGCACATCGCTCGATTCGCTGCTGAAGCACTGAGTTTCCTCGTTAAAAAGGCTGCGGCACCAGCGAATCGAGAAAAGGCTTTGCCCGTGCTAATAGAACATGTCAGAAAAGACCTTGATACTAGTAGAGATAGTCGGCAATTTGGGCTATACTACCATGGACTGATGACTATGTTTGCGGAGGCTATCAAAGGCCAAGGGCATAACTTACACACGAGTGGAACCGAGATTATCAAGTCGTTGATCGCATCTGTTCCAAGTGATGAATGCCTTTCTTCAGATCCTGTAACATGGGTTGACTTAGTTTGCGGTGTACTCGTTAGTACCATTCACCACACGACAGCAGAAACATTCGAGCCTATTCCAGAATTAATTATCGAAACAGCCACGAAGGACGAGGAGTGCTCGAGATATGCGTTGCGTAACTGTCTTTATGTCAGACTTCTAGGAACGATATCTGGAGTCCGGAAAGGTAGCCGGATAATCAACTGGTCGCCGATTCTTAGTTGCCTATTGGAATCTCTAAAGGCTCTCTCCAAAAACCCGACCGTCCTCGGTGACGTTGACTTATCCACCGTCTGGCAACAGTTAATGGTCAATGTAGCTATTGTATGGCAGCAAGCTCCGATGGACTCAGTCATTCCACATATTACCGAGTTTACAGCCGTCATGACACGAGATCCTTTGATGAGATGGTTTATCCCGTTCTGTTCTTATTTTTCGGACCTAGACTCTACCAGATTTCGAAGTCTTTTACTAAAACCATTTCAAAAGTAAGTTATCTTGAGTTGTTGAGTACGCTTAGTTATTAATATCGAGCCTAGGTTTATTGTGACACATTGGTCTGAGGGTTCTAATGAGGATATGCTATGCGTTCTCCTGCCCCGGATGGCAGAATCTCACGCGTTGCCTTCGCCTACGGACGCCGATAACTTTTCGTTGCCACAATCCTGGCAAGATCAGATTGTCACGAAATTCGAGCGCCTCGAAGTTTCGCCCTTTCCAGAACAAGTTACTTCGGGAGGGTATGATAAAGACCCCAAAACGTGGCGCGGCAAATGCTTGCCCAAATATTCGGCTCTTCTACGTGTCTTAGAAGCAGCCGCCGTTCGGCCTTCGACGAACGGACCGATCGCCGAAATATTGCTGAGAAAGCTTAAGCTTGCACTGAAGCCTTCTTTGTCCTTGGCGAGCGAGGAAGCTCACTTCATCGTGAGCCAGGGGTTCTCTTCATACCTACGGATATGCAAGATTACTGGGCAGATCGACAGCTCTCTCGAACCTTTGCTTAAAGCCGCTACCCCTCGATATCGACGACTCACGGGCTTCCTGGAAGCTATGATTGCCTACGAGGACCAGCTTAATCCTAGGAGAAGTCCCCAGAGCGAGAGTAGTTCTAATAGTGAAGGTGATGAGGACCCGTTTATGAAGAGTCTGGTTGATAACTTGTCTAGCTCATCACATCAGCACCGATCTGCGTCTTTGAAATTGCTTAGTCGGCTTGGTGCAGCGCCTGATGAGTTAGACTCCTTAGCCACTATGATCCAAACCGAGGAAATGCCTCTAGAATTACAAAATGCTCGGTTTATTTCTCTCCATATTCGGAAGTTAGCAGCGAATTATCCTCAACTCAGCAAAATTTCATGGCTTCGACGAGCAATACCCGCGTTTCTCTTCGGACAGATGACGGTCCGTTTAACTCCAATTTGGGATTCTGCGGTTGAAGCGCTACAACAAATTAGCCAAGATAAGTCTGGCGAAGATGCCGTATGCGAGCTTGCTTTCAACTGGATTGATACTCCATCCAAGCGATGGGAGGGTCCACCGAAAGGGATTCCAGCTTCTTCGAATGGCGGGCTGACAGATTTTGAATGTTGGAATCTATCGAATTTACGCAGACGGGCAGATGAGGCAGAGCAAGTGCTTAGATGCTCCTCGGAGGTTATGTTAGATATTTTCGAGGGAAGCCAAGGTTTAGTTCCTCTGATCACCTCCAATGCAAGATCCCAAGCCCTCAAGGTCTTCTTGGCCACCCCTGGTATAGCGGAGAGAAGATCTCGCAAGTTGGTTCCTTACCTACTGTCATGGACAAGAGATTCGGACGAGCAGGATGATAATGAAATGGAATCACCTGAGCAGCTTTCTGATGGATCATGGTCTCTTTTCGACAAGAAAGCCCTGCTTGGGGTGTTCGCGCAATTCACAAACCCCAAGGTCTTATATCAGAGCCAGCAAGTTTACGATGCTCTTCTCGGAATGCTTGCCAATGGCGATGTCGAGGTCCAAAAATCTGCTCTTAAGGCAATTCTTACCTGGAAGCAAGAAGGTGTTAAACCTTTTCAAGAAAACTTGGAGTATCTTCTCGACGAAGCCAGATTCAAGAACGAACTTACGGTGTTGTTCCAAGGAGATCAGCAGATCAAGCCGGAGCAACGACCCGAAATAATGCCTGTACTGCTCAGGCTACTTTACGGGAGGTCGATTTCTAAGAAGGGTGCTGCGAGTGGCCGTCATGGTCTTCTTGCTACTAGGCTTGCTGTGCTAAGGCAGCTTACAATTGACGACATGGGAGAGTTCCTCGAAATTGCTCTAGGTGATCTTCGAGGGGTCAGGATAATCGAAAATACCCAATTGCGCGAAGATACGTTCAATCGCGAAGTATTGACCGTCCGAAAGCAAGTCGGATTTTTGAACATGATGGAAGCCATGATTAACGAGATGGGCACAGACGTTCTTTCCTTTGCCGACAAGATCCTTAACGCAGTTCTCTACTGTCTCGTACTTTCTTCAAGGAAGCTAAACCAAACCGATGAGGACGTGGAAGAGGACCAACTTGCGCAAAGTTCCCTCCTTCGAGTCGTCAGGAGCACATCATTGAAATGCATAATTTCACTTCTCCGGAATGCCACCAGCTTTGACTGGACTCCATATAAAGACGTGTTCATCAATGAGGTTGTGAGTCCGCGTCTGGACAAGCTTCCTGTCGAAACAACCCAAGGTGTATCTGGCACCCTTCAATTCATTTCTACGTTATCGCAAATCCCAAAGACTGCTTATTTTCTCTCAATCGATAAACGGATCATTCCACAGTTGATGGGATGTCTAAAATTGGAGAAGACCAAAGACGAGGTCAAAATATTTGCCCTTGGTATTGTGCGGAGCATAGCGAATCTATCTCAGCAGCCGGCCGAACAGTCGGAATTCAACGAGCTGATCCAGGAAGAAATACTAGATCCAAATATCAACTTCATCTTGGAGAGTATAGGTGCTGTGCTGAAATCAAAAGGAGAAGTAGGAAGAGATCTACTCATGGCATGTGTTGAATCTGTAGTAGAGTTGTCTCCGATCATTCAGAAGTCCGTTTACCTTACAGATCTTGTTGACATATCGGTTACCCTTCTCAATCAACCTTCGCGTCGTGTCAATCCCAGGGCTAAGGGGCTTCTCCTTTCTATGCTTGAAAACTTTATCAAGCTTGCGGGAGCTGATCTCTCGGTTGAATTGAAAGATCGGATCTATTCGACATTATCATCACTCTTCGGATTTTTCAAGGACCGTGTCAATCGACAGGCGCTATCAAATGTCCTAGCCGTATTGTACAATGATCCGGTCTCTCTTGAATTATCAACGCTCTGTGCGGATCTCAACTCCTATGATAGTAGCCGCGTCGAGGAACCGAATTATGAGAAACGTCTGCAAGCCTTCAATTCTATCTTACAACCAAGAGACATACCATTCACGCCGCGAGATTGGGAGCCTTTGATATACAATATGACCTTTTACATCAAGCATGATGAAGAGTATGGAATATTGTCTGCGAACTCGGCTGATGGCTTGTGCAAGTTTGTTGAAGCTGCCGCTTGTTCAGAGGGAGAAGAGCGAGCTAAATTTTACGAGATGCTCTCAGATATCTTGATCCCAACCCTATATTCTAATGCGCGAGAGCCGTCGGAGACGGTGAGAAGGGAGGCCGTGAAAGTATTTGGGTCTCTGGTGTCTCGAATGCCATCTTGGCCTCCGGTCGCCGATCTTGTGGCAATCAATCCTCAGCCAAACGAAGACGATCCCGACCCTAGCTTCTTCAGCAATATTCTAAGCCCTGCCACTGCGAGACAGATGCGAGCCCTTCAGCTACTATCAAAGGTCAATTATCATACACCTTTGGGCAGTAAAAACCTAACCCACTTTTTCGTGCCCCTCCTCGAACAATTTATCTTCAACCGAGAGGAGGGTAGTGATGATCATGGCGTAGGTGCTCAAGCAGCATCAACAATTGCTGATATAGCCTCTTCTCTAGAATGGCCTCAATATCGAGCTATACTACGCAGATATATCAGCTACATCGAGTCGAAACCGGAACTGCAAAAGCAGTTGATTAGACTTCTCGGAAAGTTCGTCGACACCCTTGCGGCAGTAGCTTCAAATGAGAATCCGGATGCGATGGATGTAGACTCAACAACTACTACGGGCCCGCCAGAGAAATGTAGGCTAGCAGCAACAATGCCCGCCCATGAGAAGTTGAATGATGATGTCCTGACTAATATCCTACCATCGCTCGTGGAATATCTTCACGAAAAAGATGAAACTACGGTCAGCTCACGTGTTCCTGTCGGTATCATTGTCGTCAAGATTCTGCAGGTGCTTCCAAAAGAAACACTGGACCAGAAACTTCCCGGAGTCCTTACAGATATTTGTCATATCTTACGAAGCAAAGCATGGGAGTCTCGAGAGATGGCACGGAGTACCCTATCAACTATGACATCTCTTTTAGGGGCATCTTATTTTGGATTCGTCCTTAATGAATTGAGAGGGGCTTTAACAAAGGGGTACCAGCTTCACATATTGTCTTATACGATGCATACCATCTTAGTCAACGTCATCCCCCAATTTCAACCCGGAGACCTTGACTACTGTCTCGACAAGATTGTGAGCGTCATTATGGACGATATTTTCGGGGTCGTAGGCCAAGAAAAGGATGCAGAGGAGTACAACAGCCAAACGAAGGAAGTTAAGAGTAGGAAGAGTCAGGACTCAATGGAACTCATTGCTCGAACAGCTTCTGTCAACCATCTTGTTGATCTTGTACGACCTCTGAAGTCACTGCTGCTCGAAAAGCTTGACATCCGCATGGTCCGAAAAATTGATGATTTGCTGTCCAGGATAGCTTCTGGCCTGTTTAGCAACTCTGCGGCCGGGACCCGGGATACCTTGGTGTTTTGCTATGAGGTTATTCAGGAGGTGTACGAGAGCGAGAAGCCCCGATCCGAACCGAAGCTCGACCCAAAACTCAGACGGTACCTCATTCAGAAGGGCGCTAATAAAAGCGGTGATCGCAGTACAACTAGCAAGTACACATACAAACTCGTACGATTTGCCGTCGACGTTCTTCGGTCTGTACTGAAGAAACATGACAACATTCGGAACGCCACCAATATTATTGGGTTCATCCCAATTCTTGGCGATGCTCTAGTCGGAGGCGAGGAAGAAGTCAAGATAGCGACTTTTAAGCTTCTAATCACTCTTGTCAAGGTTCCATTCAAGACTGACGATGCGACGAAACTCTACAAGGTGGCATCCAAGGAAGCTTCGAAATGCATCTCGACGTCTACGTCCACCGAAACAGATCTTGCACAGAGCGCTCTTAAGCTTATGTCTGTCATCATTAGAGACCGCCGCGACGTTGTGGTGAAAGATGCAGCAGTTGATATGCTACTGAACAAGGTTAAGGACGACCTAACGGAGCCTCTCTATCGCCACGTCACCTTCAACTTCTTGCGATCAATTCTTGACCGAAAAGTTGAAACCGCTACGGTATATGATATTCTAGACTACGTCGGAACTGTTATGATCACCAATGATGATAAAGACACTCGAGATTTGGCCCGAGGTGCTTTCTTCCAATTCCTTCGCGACTATCCTCAAAAGAAGAATAGGTGGGCCAAACAGCTTAGCTTCGTCGTGGCAAACTTGAAATACGAAAGGGAAGGCGGTCGTCTTTCGGTCATGGAGATTGTACATCTTTTACTGATGAAATCGGCCGATGACTTTGTTCAAGAAGTCGCTGCAACCTGTTTCATTCCTTTAGTCTTCGTCTTAGTCAATGATGATAGTGAGAAGTGTCGACTGGCTGCTGGCGAATTAATCAAGGAAATCTTCCGAAAAGCAGACAAGGAACAAACATCGAAGTTTTTGACGCTTATGCGTTCCTGGGCGGAGCAGGATGACAATCCTTCGGTGTTACAACTGGCATTCCAAGCATTCTCACTCTACTTCGAAGCCAGGGAACCTGCCTCAAAAGATCGCAAAGATGCAGGTCTCTTACTCGAAGCGGCTACTAACGTGCTAAACAATTACTCTAATTTTTCAAAGGATTCGGAGTTGATTGACACAGTTATGCGCATGGTACCAATTCTCATAGAGAAGCACCCATCAGCAGCATTGGCACATGACGGATTATGGCAATCGATTTCGGTTCCTCTTTCGCATCCAGATCCCACAGTCAAGCTGTCAAGTGTGCGCTTGCTGAAGATTTATTTAGCTGATTTCTACGAGAATAATAAGGATACCAATGATGCACGGACTCTTGTTGGATCACACGGCCTTCAATTGCAATCACAAATGGTTGGGCATTTAACCCTTTATGCAGTGGGTGTTCTTAGCCCTGCAACTGTAAGGAGGTGGAAGAGAAGAATGCAAAAGAAAAATAGTGCTGCTTCCAGTACGAATGACGATAGAGCATTCTCTGTTGAAAGTACAGCGGAGCTTGACGAGACCCTCGCTGCTGAAGTTGGTCGAGTTATCCTGACGCTAAGCAAATTCATGGATATTGGTTCGCCGGATCCTGAATCCAGTGATAGCGACGCAGAAGACTCTGATGATGAGGAGGAATGGGGTGGTCTTGATACGGAAGAAGAAATCAGCCAGAAGGCTACTCTCCACACGCTATTTGTTTGGCTCTCTGAAATTCTCGTTGAAGAGACGCGGCCTAATGCCCGTGCGCTCATACCCAAAGTGGCGGCATTAGACATCCTATATATCCTCATCTCAACCTTACCCGAAGCGTCTCTAAGACCTTCGCTCAACATCCTCCTCACGCCCCTCCACCACCGCCTAGACCCTTCGGTCCCGACGCCGTATTCCATAGACGAGGTGTTCAAGGCGCGGTACGAGGGCCTCAAGACGAAGGCCGGCGAAGCCATGGACGTCCTGCAGAAGAAGTTCGGCACCACGGTGTACACGCAAGAATTGCTGGCCGTGCGGGAGCGCGCTAGAAGGCGCCGCGAGGGCAGGTCCAAGAAGAGGAAGATCGAGGCCGTTACGCAGCCGGAGAAGTGGGGCAAGTGGAAGAAGGGGAAGCTGGAGAAGAAGGTTAAACGCAGGAAGGAGAAGGGGCTGCAGAATCGGAATCGGAGGAGGGAGTATTAGAGCATGAAGCCGATTTCTGAGGGGGTTTGGAGTAGTGGAATCTAGAATGGGAAAATGGAATAATTTGGGAGCATCGCGTTGATGCGTAGATATGAAATGATAGTTGATTATATCCAAATATGCTTGACGATTGCTCATTTGACTATGAGTTTATGTTTGTTGCTTGAGAATTTTGAAGAATTCGATGACTTTTTTTACTGCTACTTAAGAGCTAGGCCGTTGCGATGATATTCTTGAGCGTCATAAGCGCAAGAGGAGTTTTACGTGAGACGTAACATATGAGGGTACTAGCATCTTCACAACTTTAGAGCGGGACAAATACATATTTAACTGCTTTGAATTGGGTATTATAGCCTTACACTATATAACAGACAGGCGTTGTCCGAGTACCTATATATGTGCGTATTAACTAAAGTTGGGGCTTTGAGCCCCTTTTCTGCTGGGAGATGCTATTGGTACAGGCATTGGCTCGGTTTTTGAGCGCTCCAGCGCACTCCGTACGGCCATAGCCTCATAAAAGTAGGTTTTCTGCTCGCCTTTCCGATATACCGATGAGTACGAAGGAGTCCGTGGTTTGGGCCAGCTTCGCGCGGTCGTCGGATATACCGTGCGATCGGATATGTCGGCTACATCTGGTGGCAGTTTCCACTGGAACGGTATATCCAATTCGAGCCAGTCTGCGTCTTTCTCCTGATGTGCGTCTTGTTCTTCTATCTGTCCCGTCCAAGGCGTCGGTCGTCTCCGTTGGTACAGAGGACCGGGCCCTGTCCGGATATACTGCGGCCGGCCATCTACGGTAGGGAAGTTGTAAAAACGGACGCCCTCGTATCGGTCTTGGACAAATATACGGCGGACGAGCGGCCTCGCATAGTTGCGGGCCCTGGGGTACTCCTGCGCGCTTATATGATAGCGAACGCCGGTGAATTCCTTCGAGATCGGCAGTTTTCGCCTCCATGGAACGGTCTTGGAGGAGGGACGATCATCGAAGGAAATCTCGCCCTGGGTCTGCTCTACTGTCTCTCCCGAGGTACGTTGGTCTTGGGATCCCGCGTTAGCATTGGTGCCCTTCCGTTCGGCGATCAATTTATTCACCTTTTGTAACATCTCTTCCTTCGGGACCTGAGACAGAACACTGCGGCGTTCGGCTATGGCCTTGCGAAGCAATTTTTGTAAGTGACGGGTCCTGGGACCGGTCATGAACGAATTTGACAGTTGATAGATGTTGTCATCTGCCAACGAAGCTCCAAAGGAGTCGTGAGCACTAGCCGTCGAAAGTTGACGCCTTGTTGATGGCGCTGGGTTTGTGTGTTGAGAGTTGCCTATTGATGGGCGAGCGCCGCCATCTCCTAACGGTGCCGAGGCTGTGGGTTTTGGTTCTGTTGCTTGTGATGACGGATCCCGTGTTTCCCGTGACCTTGCCGCTTCCTCTTCCTCTGAAACGTCCTTGTCTAAGTGGTCTTGTGCTTCGGCCGACTCAGGCCGAGTGTCCTCGGCATCGAAGTCCTTATCCTCCCAGAATTCAACATCTCCAGTCTCGCCAAGGTGACCTCGTCTTACTAGCTGTCCTTTCTCTCGCATGAGATCTTCGACGGTGATGTCGCGGTCGCCGAAGATATTCAGGTGGTCGCTGATGATATGACGATTTCGGCATTCCGGGCAGGTGATGAGCACAGAGCCATAATGATACCCCGTCTTCGACACCTCGTGCGTGGAGCGTGAGTTGCAGGGTACGCAGGTAAATGTTAATTGATAATGATACTCGGCGAGCCTCCGCGCTCGTTGTTGCTCAGATGGAGTTTTTGGATGGCCGGGAGGTTTGGGGATGGTGTGGGCAAACCGACGGGCGGCTGGCTGTAGAGTTCGAGGAAGAAGAGGATAGGGGTGGAGAATGGAAGGAGGTATTATTTTCGAACGGCGGAGGATTGGATTGATTAAGAGGCCGGCGACTGGTTTTGAGGCCATATTCTGCGCACTCGATTCTGCATTGAAGAGTTTGAGGAAGAATTAATTTTGCCGCTACGTAATTGAGCTTCTAGAAGTTTTTCAGGCATTGGTAGAAAATGGTGGAGTTGGCGCCTTACCAAAAGGGGTTAGTCCATTGGGTACCATCAGGTGCGTATGCTCATATTATGTAATGCCAGGCTGCCCTTGATTGGAGGGGCAATTTTTATCCCACCTTCCTAGTGCGCAAGCTAAGGACTTCCACCAACTTTAATCCACTTCACACCTTCTAGACGGAAGCTTGTCTTATGACGAACTCGGAGCAACAACGCCCACGATTTCCCTAGGTAATATATCGACATATCCATAACGACTTCCTAGGTTGGCGACAACGACGATAACTCCTGTTTCTTCTTTTGAGTTTTGGATATCTTAATTTTGACAAACATGTCTAGTTAACAGCGTCGTTTCCATCTCAAGCATTAGAGTATCCCTTCCGCTTTGTGCTAAGCATGCATGAACTCTGCATATGATTCCTCTGGACTCCAGGCTATCGGTTTCACGGTTCAGCCTTGAGATCTACACGTTTGATCTAAGCCTACAAACACGTGGTTGCATCAAATACCAAACATCATCAACAACTCGAGGGTCGAGAGTATGCCAAAATGATCAGTCGAGGAGGAGGTTCCATCATGCGAGGAGGTCGCATTCGGCCTCCTCGACGGGTAAGTAATGTCACCTATCATATGTCCCGTCCATCTATCCAAGCTACTCTTCTCATGATGCCGTTCTGAGAGCGTGATACAAGCTTCTAGCCATCTGTATGAGGTTTTGCGGTCTCCTCGGTCCGCGCAGTCGCATCATCGGTCTGTGGTGTCTCTTGACTCTCGCAAAGTGTTAATTTTCTAATCGGTCGCATCATCTGTCCTCGATTTCCCATAAATACTCTATTGTCTACTATTCCACGCTATCCTATCGTTTACATATATCCAAATGGCTTACTGACAACTATCGAATAGGCTGTAACCTCCTCTGGTCCGCTCGACGAATTCGAACAGTGTTGGGAGAAGCTTCAGGAAGCATTCCATGACATACACACTCGCAACGCCGGAAAGCTTTCCTTTGAGCAGCTTTACCGATATTCGTATAAGATCGTACTTAAGAAGTCAGGCGCGAAGTTGTATGAGCGAGTGAAGAAATTCGAGGAGCAATGGTTCGCCGACGAAATCATACCACCTATCCGAGCTCTTATAACGACGAATTTGGTCAGCATCACACTTGATGAGGCCCGCGGAACAAGCGCAGTTGAGCGGCGTGCTATGGGCGAGAAATTTCTTAAAGGTGTTAGGACATCATGGGAAAACCATAACATGTCGATGAACATGATTGCCGACATTCTGATGTATCTCGAACGAGGATACGACCGCGATCATAATCATCCTCTCATTTACGCGACGACTATTGGTCTGTTCCGTGACCACATCCTGAGATCAGACCTGAAGGAGAACGGATCCAACTGTCAAGTTTTTGACATCCTCAATGCTACTATCATTGACCATATCAATATGGAGAGAGAAGGAGATGTCATCGACAAGGCTTTATTACGCAGCTGTACTTCTATGCTGGAGGATCTTTTTGAGACAGACGAAGAGAATTCGCAGGAGCAACTATATCTAACTACGTTTGAGCCTATCTACCTCCAAAGTAGCAGCGTCTTCTACAAAGCCGAGTGCGATAAACTGATCCGTGAGGCTGACGCCAGCGCGTGGCTCCGATATACCCAGAGACGACTTGCGGAAGAGGCGGAGCGATGTCAGACGACAATTTCCCAGTTGACACTCCAGAAGATCAACAACGTAGTCGAGCAAGAACTCATTGTGAAGCACATCGAGGATTTCCTCAACCTCGAAGGTAGCGGTATTAAGGCTATGATTGATAACGATCGAATCGAGGATCTCACTATCCTTTACCAGCTCATAGCTCGCGTTGATCCTAAGAAGGTCGTGCTACGTAAAGCTCTCGCGACTCGGGTTGTCGATCTTGGCATGGAAATTGAGCAAGTACTCAAAAGCACTGATTTCAGCATATCACAACAGGCTGATGGGGAAGAGCCTCCTGATGGAGCGGAGAAATCCAAGCCAAAGACTTTGAACGCTGCGGCCCAGCAGACAGCGGCGGCAGTCAAGTGGGTTGATGATGTGTTGAGTCTCAAGGACAAGTTTGACAGACTATGGACCGCCTGCTTTGAAGAGGATCTGATTTTGCAGACGGCATTAACGAAGAGTTTCTCGGATTTCATCAATTCCTATGATCGCAGCTCAGAATACGTTTCACTCTTCATCGACGACAACCTAAAACGAGGTATCAAGGGTAAGACGGAAGCAGAGGTCGATATCGTGCTTGACAAGGCGATAACTCTCCTCCGATATCTTGGCGAGAAGGATAAATTCGAGCAGTACTATCAGAAGCATCTCGCTCGCCGCTTATTACATTCCAAGTCAGAGAGCCAAGAAGTGGAGCAAGAGATGATATCACGCATGAAGCGCGAGTTAGGCAATTCTTTCACACACAAGTTCGAGGGCATGTTCAGAGATATGCGGACGTCCAAGGAGACAACAGAACAGTATCGGGATCACATCCGTGGCCTTGGTGATGCAGACGAGAAACGAATTGAACTCAGCATCAGTGTTCTTGCTGGCAACAACTGGCCCAAGGAAGTCATGGGTCGTACAGGTCTCGCTGATGGACCAAGAGCGAAAGCCATATATCCACGTGAGATTCAAGGGCTTCAGGATAGTTTCTTCAAGTTCTACAGTATCAATCGCAATGGCCGTATACTCACTTGGCTTGGAAGTGCTGGCAGTGCTGATATCAAGTGCCTGTTCCCCAAGGTCCCCGGCAAGACCTCCGGCCCTCTCAGCAGAGAACGCCGCTACGAAATCAATGTGGCTACTTATGGAATGATTGTCCTGATGCTATTCAATGATATTGCTGAGGGCGAATGGCTGTCTTTCGAAGAGATTGAGCAGAAAACCAACATTCCACAGCTCGATTTGGTCAATGTGTTGACATCACTCTCGGTGATTAAGCAGTACCGCGTCCTTTTGAAGGAGTCACAGACGAAAGCAGCCGCCAAACCAGGAGATAGATTCACATTTAATCGCGAATTTGTGAGCAAGGCTATTAAGATTAAAGTCCCTTCGATCAATGCCAGCAATAGAGTCGAGAACGAGGAGGAACGCCAGGAGACCGACAAGAAGAATGAAGAGACGAGAATGTACATTACGGATGCCGCTATCGTCCGCATTATGAAGTAAGTCTCAATCTGATCACTCATTATATAGAAAATCACTAACATATACACTAGGCAACGCAAGGAACTCGGTCATTCCCAACTCATTACGGAAGTTATACAAGTCTTGACAAATCGGTTTAAACCCGACGTGTCACTTATAAAACGTCGAATCGAAGCTTTGATAGGCCGCGATTACCTTGAGCGATCAGAGCTAGCGGATGGCTCACCGGCCTATCAATATGTCGCCTGATATCCCGATCTCCTCATCTTATAAGGTTCGACCTTACAGGTTCAGCAAATAGTAACCTTGTCCAGGTGACATGAGTTCACTAGTTAAGGGAGGAAGTTGGTGCGACGGGCTTATGCTTCGGGCTTCTAGCCCGTGGTTACGCCTAAATCACCATCCGCAATTCTAAATACGGGATACTTGTTCCGTATATATTAAGGCGACATTATGGTAGTTGCCACGGATAGATAGTTTCCCCCAAGGTTTGGATTAGGGCAAACCCCTTTTCCAAGTGAGGGATAATATATTGTGCTAATGGGAAACGTGTTTCATCTCAATGCATAGCAGTGGCGAAACGGTGGGATGAGGCTATAGTCCGTTTACAATGGCTGAGGGGATGGATTGTAAATGCATAGTAGCTAAGCAATTGCCATGAATGAATGGAAAAGCTGATTCTAACCCCTCTTCTCTACCCAGGTATCTTTTTATGGCACATAAGTATTGGATCATAACCAATGTGCTATTGGACAATCTGGCTAACTCCGTAGACCCAATAATTCGAGTCTTTGCTTGTAAAATCCAGCTGAATGAGCACGACTTCCAGATACAACTACATCATTGCTACTATCGGCTCAAACAATGTCCTTGTTTATACGATCAACTGCCTTTGTCTCAGCTCGCGAGCGACCATGGGCATTCGCGTTAGCTGAAACAGAAAGACGAAATTTTGCACAAAGGCCTCGAAAACAATACCCATTGATACTGACCAAAGCATCCAATGATCGCCAAGCACTTTGACAGATGAGCAAAGCCCATAGCAAGGGATATATCTAAACAGGGGACCTAGTCCCTCATAACTATGTGCATAGGTCGTATGATCATTACGGTTTGTGGACAGAATTTGCTCCTGTTCATGAACGTGCTCTTTGGTGGGATTCAAACAAGAAACTCTCATTCCCACCCCCCTATCCATAAAAGCGGCTGGCTTTCCCCCTAACTAGCTGGTCTCTAACGTTTTAGAGCATTGGTCACAGACAATTCTCATTACTTGTTTTCGTTACCTGTTACGTTTGTTTTTGAATCATTACCTACATATTTACCTACCTCCTATCAGTTATCCCAAGATGAGCGGAAGACGAGGCAGCGAATCTTGGCTCGATGCTCTAGGGGGGCTTGAGGACTATCGCAGCAACGCCGGCAACGTCCGGTCGAATGCTTCTAAGGACGACCATCCGGTTAATAGCAGTAAGTCGAACCGCAACCGCTCTAAAGCAGCTATTCCTGCTGACCCGCCAAAGCAAAGGCGTAGTATAAGATCGGCTTCTAGTCACAGGGCCGAGTCTAATGCTGTTGCTACCGGCATGAAGGCTCCTACAATCTCAAGCTCAACACGCAAGCGTATTGAGTCTCAGGAGGAAGCACGAGCTCGTGTGATCAATCGCGCTCGCGCCTACGAGGCTCTGTGCGAAGCAGAGGCGGAGGAACAAGTCCCCGAAGAACCGCCAACACCACCCAGTAAGGATTATAGTCCATCGCAATTGCATCCGACTTCTATGCAACCCGGTTGGACCGCCCATGGCCCCGCTCCTTTAAGGGTGGTTCACGAGAACACTAAAGTAGTAATATCCGACACACGCACGAGCGATGCCTTTTGGAAGCCCCAGAAGCCGGTCTACGCCCAAGGAGCTCCTGGTAAAGAGGCCGCAAATGGAGGCAGCAAGGAGATTACAACGCAGATTTCGCAATATGTGCCGTATAGACCGCCGCCGCCAGTACCGCCGAAGGATAAGCCGCAACAGCTGAAGCCGAAGCCGGGTGCTGGGGGCGGTGTAAAGCGTAGGCCTGTACCGTTGAACCTCCACGGAGTTGTGCCACAGAATGGAAGTAACGGGGAGGCTAGTCGTAGCATCGCGTCCTCGGCGCAACCGAAAACCACGAATCCAAGCCCGCGAAGCGGTGTCCAGCCTTGGGATATCAGCAAACCGTATGAAGTCAAGCGCACCCCCAACAGCCACGCCAACACCCCTCCAAGCGTCGGAAAACGCGTTTACAAAGCCTACACACCCTCCGCCACCCCCTCCCCTTCCCTCTCCACATTCCCATCTCAAGTCCGGCGTATGCTCACCCCGCCCACATCCCCTTCAGCCGCATCCCGCACCCCTGTCTCTCCTTCCTACGCCCCCGTCTCTCCCTCTTACACCACAACTCCGATCACACCTTCTCCGTTCCCCGCCTCGCCCCGCTCCTCCTCCTCCAATATATCCCGCTCCCGCAGCCCCGCCCGCGGGTCCTGGACCGCGGACCGTCCGCGCCAACAACCCCAGCGCTCCTCGTTCGTGGACCGCGCTAGAGATAGGATGCGCGCGAGCTGGCACTTGAATTTGCAGAAGGCGGGTGTTCGGCCTCTGAGTAGCTTCGAGGTCCGCGATGTGAGGAAGGGGTATGTTAAGGATGTGGCGACGGAGTGGATGGGGAGTTCGATGGCGCTTGGGGACTGTGTGGGTGTAGAGATGGAGGGGAGGGGAAGAGGAGGGGGTGAGTGTTGGGCTGGGGGGTTCGATGGCTTGGAGGAGAGGGCGAGGAGGCATCTGGTTAGGGAGAGTCGGCGGGAGGGGAAGGAGGAGCAACAGATGCAGCGCGGCAGGTCGTTTAAGGAGAGGGCTAGAGGGCTTTCGTTTGATGCGCATGCTACCGGTCTCTCACGGAAAGACTCCTTATTCTTGGGTACTGTGAATCGGCCGACTTCAGAAACGTTCTTCGCGTCGGACTGGTCGCAGCAACAGGTCATTAACCAGGCTAAGGAGATGGTAGCCGAGTTGCCCGGTTCATCATCTTTTCATCGCGGTCCGTTTGGGAAGAAGGATGGTGGTGAAGTTGCGCCGAAGCAGCGAAAGGCTGCCTCGTCGTCTCGGGGTGTAACGACATCTGCGAATGATCGCGGACTATTGCCGAGTCAGACTCGAGGGAGATCTCGGATACCTGTTCCTGTTAGGCCGAAATTGTCGCGGCGGCACGCGCTGTCGGGGAAGGGTAGTAGACGTTTGAAGTGAGTTGACCTGGGAATGATGATGATCCATTGGTGACTAGCTAATGGATAAGTATGTATAAGTTAGATGTAATCCTAGCGGATATAGTCAGGCTACTGACATACGTATATAGTAGTAATTTGAATATTGTATTATTTCAAGCATACCCAACCACCCATACTTTTGGCGTTGCTGTTTTCCGTTCTTATTGTTGATCGGTATAAATATCAAATTTTGAAACCTCTCTTCCCTTCACCGCGGGTCTATTTAGATAGAAATATAGAAATCGCTGGCATCGCGAGCTAGACTCGGCCGAAGATGATTCCGCAATGTCACATTCTTAATATTGCTTGAATGCCTTCTTGACGTATTCCTTTATCATCTTCCGTATGCTTACAACTGTGTTAGGCATAGCCACATCTGCAAAGCTGTACGAATGGGCCGCGGAAGTATCGTCAACACCGCGGCTTCTACGCTGATCTGGAGGCAACGCGTGTTTAACAGTAATCGGGATTTGCTCCAAGATTTGGGAGCTCTCTGAAGGATTGTACTTTATAAGTAAACAAACAACCTTAACCATGAATTCAGCGTTCAATTTCCAGGAAGGCACGTCATTTAGTCGACTGAAAAATCCTTCGCTTGGACTGACAAGCCGAACTTTGCCCACAGTTTGTCGCAAAGGATAAGTAATGTTACGGTTTAGACGCAAAGCCGCACCAGCGTTGAGGAAATCGCTTAGCAAGGTGAGATACATTCCTTCGCGAGCTGGATCATTACATATCTCGAAAGCCAAATTCAGATATGCCCCAAACGCAGGCCAGCCTCCTGTCTGAGTACGCCATACAATAGCCATGGGGTCAGCACCAAGACGCAACATATTAGATAAGATGTGGTTTTCGCACAAATACCAAAATCGCGTCTTAGCTATAGTAGTAGTAGCCCTTCCACGTTTCCACGGCGTCAAGTATCCAAACAATAAGGTCCAGATTGTATGAGGCTGCGGTACTACGTCAACTTCTAGACATGCATTAAGGTCTAGATCTTGAGTCTCGAGAGCCAACTGTAGCATTTCAACGCCACGCTTGCGCCATGGCACTTTGAGGTATACATCTCTGGGACCGTGAGGGGAGAGCATGTGAAGAACCGAAAGTCCTACTTTGCTCAAGTATCGTTTGTCGGATGGCAACTTCCAGGCAAGGAATCTCGTCATCTCTCGCTGGATAATCCGTTCTCGAACGAAGGATTTTTCACTAAATGTAGGCTGTACGGCAAAACCCTTTTTGTCGCATTTCGCCACTACAGCGCGATCTAATTCATCGAGTGTACTGTATGCAAGGCTGATGCTAGGCTGATGTTGTTCTATTTCCTCCACGCACAATAACGCGTTATTTGTTAAAGTGTCCAGATAGGGGTCAATGTCGTTGCGTGCCATTGACCCCTTGAAATAGAATCGCTTCACCATGCCGGTATATACTCTTAGAAGAGATATAGGAATCCTGAAGCTGGATGGAGACCTTTCCTTCAGGAAGTCATGCATATCTCGGGTCTTTAAGAAGTCCGTGACTGTTCTGTGCAGGAATGTGACTTTCCCGGAGTGCTCGTTCATTTCCAAGAGGCCTCTGGTCGAATTATTGAGCAGGCACCTCATATCTTCTTTCAAGATCTTTTCTTCTTCTTCGGTATAGGCATGTGTTGGAAGACTGAAAACATAGTTTTCATCGTCAAATTCCTTCATTAGAAAGTCATATGCCATGACATGCAAGGGCTCTCCCGCCGCAATGGCCATTTGAAGCATGGCAGACATCTTGTTCCTGTAGAAGTATTGGACCGACTCTAGGATCTGTCGGAAGTAAACTTCGAGTTCGACCGGAAAACTCTCGAAGCGACGCTTGATATCAGACACCGTGTCATGGTTAGTCAGTCCTTCTAGGATAAATTTGACGACAAGATAGACCCAAAGAAAGACTCCTGAAGCGCGCTCCTGAATTTCCTCAATTAACCAATTCCCCTGTGACGAGCTTTTAGCGAATATGTGCCATCTAGGATGATTCATCAGTTCGCATCGAATATATTTCAGAATGTCACGTTTTGTGAGGTCCTGCATGTAGAGCTTGCGTTCAAGGTCGTGGCCATAGGCGTCTTCAAACATGATCCACGGTCTGCTAGAAACACAAATTTTGATATTGGGTGACTTGGACAGCTCAGTAAGAACCTGACATAACTCGACAAGCCGGCTAGTGTCAGTGCCGTACTCATCAAGGCCATCGATGAAGAAACAGAAGCGCACTTGGGCCGCATCCTGATCTGCTATCTTCCTGATGATGGCATGGAGATCGGCATTGGTCCAAGGAAGGAAGCCGTTCTCGGAATCCTCACCCGTCTCTGGTCGCCTATTGCCACATAGTGGTGTGATGAGATCGGGCCATTGAAGAAAGATGTCATATAGCAATGTTCGAAGAAATCCATTCTCTGATTTCTGCAAAGCCGTTCCAGCGCTCCAGAAATAATGACTCGCGATTACGAGCGGATTATGCGCTGACCATTCCGTCAGGAGCACACGGGTTCTTGGATCATCTGCAATGAATTTCATGAAAGTTGACTTTCCAGATCCTGGTTTGCCTGAATACTGTACCATTAGAGGCGAGAGGTTCTACACATCGATTATATTATCAAGAAAACACTAACCTGACACCCAGAACAACCCATCATCACTCTTAAACCAATCGGCAATGCGTCCTGTTTCCACTTGCTCACGCTCACTAGGATTATATACCCATTCAAAGGTTTTTTTATAGGCTCGTGGTATATTAGCATGTCTTTCAGACCTAGATTTGAACGTTAAACTCCGCAATATTGCTTGCTCTTCGGCAACAATGTCTTGGGATTTGGATATTTCGGATATCCGCTGCTCAATCCCTTTTATTTCTCCTGTTGCTGATGACATGGGTGGGTTTCGTGTCCTGATTTCTTGAACATGGCGCTCCAAGTCATGCAATTCGTGCGTTATTTGACTGATTTTGTACGACTGGTTTGACTGCATCTCTTTGCTTTTAGTAAGTAGTGTTTCTAGACGGACCGAACAAATCTGCTGAGCATGGCTAGTTCCCGGTCAGCATGAACCGAATGATGATCGTATCCTTGAGCTAATCACTTACCTTGAAATAGTACAGATCAATAGTGTCATAGATGTCTGGGCCCTATTGATCCTTTTCTCTAAGTCCTCTATCTCATTTTTTTTCATCATCATTCTCAATGCGACAAGAAAACTCCCGGCCCATCCACCCTTTGATTTGAGCTTACTGAAAACTTTCAAAAGCTTTTCACAGTCGGATTGACATAGAATTGACAATTGGCGGAAAGATAAACCATACTGTTCAGTAAGCCCGTCAGTCGGGATAGCGGCACCAACTTGTCCATTGATGTAAGTCCCTGCTGAATTATGACCGGAAGTGAGCTTGTCTTGGAACTTAAGCAGCGCATCGTATAGAGATTCCAAGGTGAGAACGTTGGCTGAACTACCCGAAGTTGATTGACGAATCTCCACTGCACCGCTTATCAAACTGCTTGTGAACTGAACAAACTGGATGATAGTTGCAGCCAGGCTAAGAGCTGCCAGCGCCTCCATCATGGAGTGTAGAGACCCTAAAAGATTTTTTTTCCTTTTTTTCCAATTTCACGATTGTTGATCGAATTTTGGATTCAAGTACATACCGCAGAATCGAACAGATAACCTAGACAGTGTAGGGTGGTGTTATCAGGTAAGTTTATTAATCTTTGGGCACCTCGATGCCTAGCTGTCCAACGTATCAACTGCTCGCTTCACATGCACAGCCTGCGTTAAGAATGATGGAGGATGCATTGCTTGCAAGCCAATGAAACCACCATGTAGGGGACTTAAAGGCCTGATCTTCAATACAGCCTTCACATAGCCAACTTCCAGTTGGGGCTGTCGGACATTTGAGTATAAACTGACCTCGTGGCTCAGACCGTCATGTCAAGTAACCTTCCTGCCACACTATTTGCGGCTTATCCTTTCAATTGGCGGTGGTCGCTAGTCGGCGATTGAAAGGCAGACTGCATCTTCATACTGCCCTGCCCGTCCAGAATGCCTTGAGAGCCTCAATGCAGTCTCCTAGGTTAGAAGAGATAGATTTTATATTGAGCCTTGCCATTTCAATATGTACATAAGTACCTGTAATTGCATTGTATTCAATTCAGCCGCATGGACGGCGGACGATAGTACCGAATCCGCCAACCCGCCAATTCATTTTATATATTACGATATATATTGTATAAATGTATAGTAAGCTTTAATTATTAATATTATATTTTATTATTTATAAAAGTTATAATATTAAAAAGCGTTATAAATTATAAAAAGTTATAATATTTTTTAATTTATATTATTTATAACGTATTAAATTTAAAATTATTTTATTTAAATTTAAATATTTTATATTTAAATTATTTTAAAATAATTTTTAAAATTAATTAATAATTATTTTAATAT